CATCAAGTGAAGCTAATTTCTAGGCAGTCATCATAGTGCTTCTTTTAGAGGAGGTGCATGGACGTCTGTGTGTGTGTTCACACACACCACACATAAAAATACATGTTTCAGCCAGAGGTGTCCAAAGTGTGGCCCGGGGCCATTTGTGGCTCTTGGATTGACTTTGTATGGCCCCTAACTGAATTCAAAAATTATACAAATTTGGCCCGCAGACACAGATGGAGATTTAAAAACTGTTACCAACATCACTTTCTCATAAAGGAAAATGTGAAGTACAACACAAAGTATTCGTCTTTTTTACCAAAAGGTAAAACCAAGTTGATCTTTCACTGAAAAGCCAACTTTACTGCAGCCAAATCAGCTGTTATTCTTTATTAGATGTGGTTAAACATACCAAGAGTTTTGAAACAAAGACTGGAATAATGTTCTTATTACCGAAAATAAATGTATTTTATCGAGTCCAAAAGAAACTGAAAATTAGATGTCTTTTTAATAGAGCAAACATGCAGATTAAAGTTGTAGTAAGTAGTAAATTTCTGCCAAAAAGTTTTAAGCGTAATCTCTGAAATTTTCTAGAAAAAACAATGAAATATGATAGAAAACAAATATCAAATTTTTTGATAAATATCAGAAATTTTCAACAAAAAACTTTTCATTTCTATATTTCAAATTTTCTTTTGAAAATTTCAAAAGAAATCACAAAATTGTAGTCTTTGGTGGAAATTTAGTCCTTTTTTTCTGTCTACAATGGCCCTGATACAGAGTCGTAAAAATCTACAATAAATTTCCAGCTATTTTATTTGCTTTGTTGGTGTTTTTGGCCTGCAACTATTTTTGGTTCTACAATTTTGACCCACATGGCAAAATGTTTGGACACCCCTGGTTTAAGTCCAGTTATGATCTGCAGAGTTAGCTACTGGCCAGGTATTTCTCACAGAGCCTGAAGGAAGAGTTTCTGATGTCAGGATAGCGGATCTCTTGCTGCCTTTCATCTGGTGCCTTAGATGAACATGTAAACTGATCCTAAAGCATTTCTGTTGAAACCAGAGTGTAAAAGAAACACATTTATACTAACTTTATATTAAGGTAATAAAGGGTTGCAGATATTCTTGAATATTTGGAGATTACACTTTCACAGAAATACTTCAGGCTGTCAAAAGGAACCATTTTTACAGTGTTTCCTATTTGGAGCAACTGTGTTGTCCATCAATGTAAAACCCTTCTGTTGTCTCTTGCTCTCAAAATGTGAATCTTCGCCAATTTATTGACATTATAAATGTCATTTATTGTCAAACATTTACTTTAAATGGACAAAATTCTGCAAAACAAAACCTGGACAAAATCTACCTAACAAACGCCTCATGATGCCACGTCTCACTGTAGCTCGTAGGTTTGCAGACCCATCTGTCCGCGGTAACCTCGGTTCTGCTGCTGATGAACATTCACTGTGTCATACGTCTAAATCTGTTTTCAACACGCAAAGCGCTTAGGTAATGTCACAACAACTAATCCTCTGGGAACCATGACATGCAGAGGCAGATGGGCAGGAAAGATTATATTCTTATTTTACTACATGGGCACGTAAATAGATGTACAAACAAACAAAACCTTCCTTAAAAACACGTCTTGGCTGCACAACTTCACCTCCCCCCTTATTTCGGCCTCTCTGCTCAGGTTTAATTGACTATTGTAGCAGATGGGATGGCCGCTGGTGTGGGAATCAATGTCGTCATTGTGGAGCTGAGAGAGAGATTAGCAGCTAGTTTGCAGTAGTGAGCGATGACAGCTGGGAGCGTAACCCGGCCCAGTCACACACACACACACAGGAAGTAGCAGTGTCCACTTTTTAACCCTGGATAAGCAATTACACTTACAGGAACGATGAAGTTTCTGGAGCTTTAACCACAACGCTGGATAAATCCAACTCCACTTGGGAACCTGAGTTATCTCAACTATAACAGATGAAGGCAGAATCTCTAGTGTGAGTTAAAAGGTAAAAAAAAAAACACAACAACAATCCCTTAGAGATTTGGGTAAATAAACAGAACAATCGTGTATAAAATATTCTGAATTTTGATGATATATTTCATATGAGGCTGAACTACTATGAAAACATTTTGTTTTCATGAAATTTACAGGTTCAAAACAGTTTATATTTATAAAGTTTATACTTTCCCTTCATTTCAACAATCCCAGCTGCATGTTCTAAAATTACACAACGTCCAGCCTCTTTGAAGAACCAATTAAGTTAATAACATAATTCACAACGTGGGGTTAGTGGTTGCATGTTTATGAAGAAACTATGGCCTGAAAATCGTCTATAAAAACAATTTTAGTCATGCTTCCAGCCAGTAATTCTGTAATTTGTTCTCCAAGAGCGAATTAAATTATTTTTTAAATCGTGTACTTGAGTGCTGTCCAGTCCGGGGAAATATAAACTAATTTAATGTGCTGTATATTTTAAATTAGGTCAAAAAGATTTGTAATATCCAATTTAGACTGTTTTAAAGCATCACAACTGAAGGAATCATCAGGACTGGAAAAACACTTGTAAAAATCTAAACAGACTAGATTTTAGTAAAAATCTGGAAAGGAAAAATAGTTAAACTCACTGATCGAGGAGGAGAAATTGGACATTTCCTTCCACAGAAACACACACACAAGCTGGCATTACGCAGCCCGTGTTTTCTACTGAGGGATTATTAAATTTCCTCCAGGGTTTCCACCGGGGCAGCGCTGCCTGGTCACTGCAGAGCAGGAAAAATAACACGGCTCATGTTGCTGCTCAGCCATCTTCAGAAATGACTGGAGCGACTGTGGGTGTTGGTTACCTGGCTCCCGCTTCATCTGGGTCAAATCAAGTTCAGCACCAGATGGTTCTTGGAGTCTCTGAGGTAGCGTGTTTTGACAAGACTTTGGGGAACTGACGTGACTGAACAATTGCACAGTCGTTCATTTGCTGATTAAAGGCCATGACTGTAGCTGCAGCTCCGACCGTAATGAACTACAGTCAGTAGTTCCACAAAGAAAGTAATCATCCCGCTGCAGATCCTTAGCAACACAGCATATTTTGATGTGGGCAACAGGAAATCGCAGAAATCTTGTTCCGTCATAAAATGAGACAGAATTTCGATCATCCATTTTGACGTGGGAAAGTGCTTACTAGGCGTAAAAACAACAAAAATCCCTCAGGATTAAACATGCAGCTCAGCCAGCCAACACATGCCTTGTTCAAATTCATCTGCTTTTCAGCAAGAGTAATTTAATATACCAACTATGAACAGCTGGAAGCAGATTTATTTGAACGCGCTGCTGGAGGTATTTGGGATGTTTAAATTCAGTCGCCAAAACAAGGCCGTACCTCTGCTGGTTAGATTATGGTGTGGCTTTGTGCAAAAAGAAAATAACAGAAGCTCTGCATGTTTGAAATTTGAACTTAATTCCCTATTTGTGGGATAGACTTATAATGACAGTAAAATTAACACCTCAGAAAATAGCCAGGTTTTGCATAGTGACCTGGACAAAAACAGGTAATTACAGCATAGTTACTGAACAACACCTTGTTCTGTGTCCTTTCACATTCTCCAGGGACTAACAATGGAGTAGGAAAGAGGGGTAACATGATAACGATGCACAGTGTGTGTGTGTAACACAGCACTACTTCCCCTCAGTCGCTACAAACAAATGTCCACACACCAAGGAATGTCTTAAAAGCTTTAAACCACACACACAAACCTCACTGGAGAATATTTTCCTCCTTCTGCTGATCAGATTGCACCTTCTGTCTGTCAGCTAGAGCTCATATAGAAAACTGAAAGGTCAGGAATGACTGGATGAGTACATACACATCCATCTGTGTCTAAGAAGAAGCAGCATGTAGGAAGATGAATCTGCAACATGAGGAAGAGAGATGAAGGAGAGCCCTTTCCCTGCTTCGCTTAAATCCTCAATTTTCATGCCTGCAGCTTTGTGTCTCCTGCAGCTCTCAGATTAAAGGCTCTGAGGCAACATTTGCAGAAAGCAAGAAGGAGCCTTGTTTGTTTCTGAGCGACCCATGCCTGTTTGCACTGATGATAAAGAATATAGGATAAAAGCATAAGTGTTGTAGTTGTACCGCATTTTTTTATAAAAATGAACATGTAAATTACTGAGACACAGAAGTGGGTAAAGTACACAAAAAACTGGACTTGAGAGAAGAACTACTTTAGCATATTTTAACTAGGAAATTAGCTGAGTAAAAAAGTATTTAGTAGTTACTCAACTATTTAAGACAATCAAACGGAGTAAAAATACAAAGTTATGTGGAAATGTTGGTATTTTAAAGATCAAGATGAAAATAATTCAAATAAAAAATACAAAATAATTTCATTCAGTAAAAAAATAACATGAGACAAAAACTGCAGGTAGATTTTTGGTTAAAACAAGTTTTTTCTTTGTTCAGTGAAATTACTCAGTAGACAGATTATCCAGAAATTTTACTCAAATTAAAGCAGCAACACCTCAAAATAAAATTCTCCAAATAAAAAAACTTCTAATAGTAAGTATTTTCCAAGTAAATGTAACTGAGTAAATGTAGATAGTTGAATTCAGTAATCAATTTGCTGTTCATCTGCAGCCTGCTGATGATGGATGGACCCGTTGCCTCAGAAAGATCATCGTTCTGAGCTGATGAACTGATTTTAACGTTGGCACATAATGTCAGTTTTCATTTCAGATACATTTGTATCCGAGTCATATCTGTTCCTGTCACTTTAGGCTACATGAGGAATCCTTCAGACCTCAGCAGGTGCATGACGCAACAAGATAAAACTCTGCAGGCTGCTGCTTTGTAGTCAGCAACCATTTCCAAGCCCTGTGCATTTTATTAAATTATTATTCAGAAATAGCAACATGACATTAACAGCAGCAGCATTTCTCCCCATTTTCACACACACAAAAAAACCCATTTGAATTGCCTTTTTTTTTTTTTAAAAGGAGAGAAGAAGAACACCACCACCTACCTCCATGGCCAGAGCAGCCGTTTGCTGGTCGTAGTGATTCAGGAGATTGGGCATGAAGGTGGTGTTGTAAGGCAAATCCTGGCACATTCTCAGTCTGATGGGCTCACAGCTGAATTCGCTATGGCTCTCTATAGACTCCATGTGAGGGGCACCCAGGGAGAAGAGGAGCAGGAGGAGGAGGATGGAGAGATGGCAGGAAGGGACGTTTTGTCTGCAGCCGTTTATTACAGTTTTTGAACGCCCGTCTCCTCCGCTGACAGGTGTTTTCTTTTTAACGCTCGACATATTGTCAGTGATTCAGGTTGTTTATATCATCCTTATTTTGACAGCAGCTTGGTAAGAGAGAAACATATCCATTTTGAAAGTGAGTGATGGATGTGAAGCCCACAAACCCACACTAAAGGAGAAGTCCACAGACAGGGTGCATGCAGGCTAAACTACATAAGGGAACTCCAAATTCAAGAGAGCTGCACTTTGTGGAAATCTCATTGCGTTTCAGAATGTCTAAACTGATTTCCCATTATTGGATTTTTCTCTGAATCCCAGTGCTCCTCCGGTCAAAGGCCTGTAAACCTGGCTCCATCCCTGAGCTTATTGCAAAGCTCCGTCTTCCATATGCAAGTCGTCTCCTGCCGTTTTCTTTCTGGTCTTTATTCTTTCAATTCCTTATCTGTTCTCCAGAGATGATGGCCAGAACCGCCGAGGCTCCAGCGTGTCATAATCAACCCTGCAAAGACACAAAACGTCTCTTTTTAAACCGTCAGACTGCTTTGGCTCCTGAAAACAGGTCTTGCAAGTTTAATATACAAAGAGGGGATTATTGCCTAAAACAGCAAAGAGGATTTCCTTGAAGTTTACTGTTGCAGACATCGTCTCTGATCAGCCACACCCTTCTTTACATGAATAAAATCATCCTATTACGATACATTTTTACATCACCCAAATGGGTGTAAAGCTGATTTTCTTTCCTGACAGAGTGTGTGTTTGCATTTTTAGGAAAAATTGTCTTGGCTTGCCTCAGTGTCGGATTATGTTCTTGTAGGAGAGCTGAGTCAGCGGGGTCAGGTTGCACACTACAGAAAGTGTGTTCAAAGTGAACCTGCTATCAGCTCAGATGCCTGTGAGGACGTACACCTGTGGATGAGTGGCCCAGACACTCCCCCACCTCCGTTCCCGTTTGTGTGAGCTTCACTGGGCAACAGCCATACGGAGCACAAAAGGTGCCATTGAAAAAGCAAGAAAATTAAACAATAATTTATGTGTCTCTTAATTAAAATCTAATTTAATGCAATATTAATATTAAAATGTTAGAATTCCTTAATTAAAATTAAATAATGAAATAACGGGGTTCTATCATCTCATTTCAGTTCTTTTTGTTTTTTTTGTATAAAGCCAATTCAAAACATATTGAATTTAAAATGACAAAACATTAAATTTATATACAAAAACAATCATTTTGATCATGCCGGTCAAACTTTTAAATGTGATACAACTAATCATACAGTGCAATAAACTTCATTTTAAAATGGCAGTAATCTATAGAAATAAAGTTCAGCCGATCACATCAATCGGTCATTGATTTTGCAGCAATTCCTTGTTTTGGTCAAACATGGACAACAGTGGAGAGGAATAACTCCTTTAAACAGGGGAAGTTTTCATCTTTTCATCAGCTCAATACGAGGACAAATCATGAGCACAATAATAATAAAAACAGAAATGTCCTTCCAGGAGGATTTTTTTATGTAAAAGAGTAAAAAAAGTAGTTACTCCAACAGATTTTGAAGGAGAAGGCTGATAGAAAACAATATTAAATCAAGCCATGTACTGCAGCAAATGACTACGATACAATTAAGTTGTAATTATTAAAATAATTATTTCAGAGTACAGTGCTGAAACACTTCATAAATTGATTTATTTTTAAAACAATATAATCAGTCAAATATATAATTAAAAAATGTGGCTAAGTTCTACATTAATTTCCAGAAATTACATAATTCACTTGGCGTTTTTAACCTCCAATTAGGAATGGATTTCCTTATCAAGTAATAACCAATTTATATATATATATTGTGTATATCATTGTGGCACTTTTTGCACTCCATAAAAGCAACGCTCCTGTGATGTTTCACACAGACCCACTACGCGACTTTCCGTGTGGCTGAATTGTAAACTTTACAGCTTATATGCTCCACTAATATATCCAAATGCAACATGGACATTTCTTCAGCTCTGCGTGACGACGTCGCGCACGCCAGCTGCTGTCAGCCAGCAGCCATTAACATTGTTACATTGATTAGTAATTTAGGTGAACACCTGCGTAGCGTTCACGGTGAGGCGCGTCGTTAGCGTTCGCTCCTTCTGGTTGTCAGAGAAAAATGAAGTGGGTGGTTTCAGAGCGCAGACATTTCACGTCGCTCTGTCCACGGAAGCATCTTCGTTGTTGCAGCGACAACCACACGCGGTAACATGCAGGAAAAAAAGAAAACCATCAGATGGTTTGTCACCGCAGCGTATTCCACGCAGCAACAGCGCGCTGTTTGCGCACATTTTCCCTTTAAAGCGTTTATTGTCCAAGTCTGCGCGCCTGTTTTACAGCTCAGAATCAAATGAGGCGCAGAGATGAGGGAGGTGTAATGTTAGAGGAGGAAATGCTTTACCTTGTGTGCAGAACAGCGAGCGGTTCGGGTGGTCCCGGGCTCTGTTCACCGCAGTACAGCGCTGGTCCGCTCTGCTCTGCAGCTGGCTGCTCGCTGCCCACGAGTCATCGGGAGCGCGGATTGAGCGTGAGCGCGCAGGCGAGCCAATTGACTTCACAGTGTGAGTGGATGTGGGCGTGTTAGACCTACAGTGGGCTGCTTAAAAATTCATCTCGACTATAATGGAATACTAATGAAGTCTAATGCGTTGCGGCGTTTTGGCTGCGTGACTGGACTGCATTATCATAACCAAAATATGCGTCATAGATATGAGCTTTGAAAGGTGCTGCATTTTATTTATTTACACTTATTTTTTTGCGCTTCATAGGTTGACACAATTTAGCTTTTCTCACTTCTCGCAGCTTGAAATATGTTTAAAAATGAATTTATCTCATTAGTTCAGTTCATCTCATGAATGTTATTCAGAGAAGCCTAGTACATTTCTGACCTCTGCTTGAACCATTTTGAGAATTATGTCTTAAAATTAATAAAAATCACAAATTACGTTTCTGTAAATAGACTATTAAAATTGATTTTAATACAGAAATGTTGTGCTGTGGCTTACACAATGGTAAATAAAAATGAATTGATAATTGGTCAGCAGACAGTGAACCTTCCTCAAAGAGAGTAAGCCACAAATAGTCACCACTAAAGACTTTGGCTGTTCAGACTGCAAAGAAATAGGAAGTTGAGTGGAAGAAAATGCAATTTGACTCAAAGGTTCACCAGCCACAACAAATATCCACGATTTGTACGATAAATGTTGCATTTGTTGTCTTAAGTCACTCTTGGACTGACAAGGTAACCAGTTATCTGAGCCAAGAAGATAAAAGATTGCACTGTTGTTCAACGTGGGTCCAAAGTCCTTTTTTCAGATGAATATTAATTTTGCTTTTCATTTCAAAAGCAAAGCGCTGGAATCTGAAATCAGAGTGGAAAAGCAAAGTGAAGTTTGATGTGGGGAGCCATGTCATCTGCTGGTTTTGGTCCAATCAAGCCCAGCGTCAGTGGAAGTGTCTACCAGGAAACATGACTATATCCTTCATTTACAAACTGTTTGGAGATGCTGCTGTCAGTTTTCAAACAGACTTAGCAAATGCTGACACTGACAAATAAATGACAGATTAAATACTAATATAAAAAAAGCAAAGAATATGTAACTAGTTATAAGTCGCTTGATAAAATGTCACATAGTTTACTCACGTCTTTAAAGTCCTCCTTAAAATGATTTCTTCCTGCAGCTTGGCTCGTTGTTGTGACCGCATTAGTCAAGACTTATGTCAATATTTGTCCTGCAGAGCTTCAGGATTAGCGTTTTGCGCTATGATTTCCTTCCACACAGTTAAGCACAGCCCTAGATTAACCGTTTCATGGCTGATCTGATCCTGATCCTCTCTGTCACAGAGTTGTGGGGGGTCCGGCTCAGGCTGCTGACCCACATACTGGTTTTAACCTTTTAATGTGACCCCACTTAACAATGACCAACATTACAGAACAGAGTCCAAACACGGCTTTTTGGATTCAACTTTTTTTTTTAATGCATGTTCAGAATACATTTACTTACCAGCATATTTGAATGTTTCTTTTCAGTTTTTATATTATAAAAAAAAATAATGATTGATAGATAATGGCAAACGATGTAGAAAATGAAACAAATGGAGTTAAAAATGTCCAACATACCTTGAAATACAATTTTTGAAACAATGCAATTACAGTATAAACTGGTAATTATCAGTTTTATTTAATTAACAAATGCTGCATGTTTCATTTACCTTCCTGTTTAATGCCAATAGTTAAAAAAAAGAAAAAAAGTGCAGTTTACTATTTTATGGCATGAAATCAAATGGAAATCAAAGCTGAATGTAGAAAAAAAAACTAAAATTATTTTAAAAATTTTAAGACATGTTAGATTTCATGGAGTGGTTAAAAAAAGGTAAACAAACTGTTGAATAATTACTTTTAAGAAATAAAGATCAAACTAAAAAAAAAACTGTCTTCATAAGCACTGGTTTCATATTAGGTTCTAATAAACCTAAATATTAGGGCGGCCATTTTAAAACATTGTCACATTTACGCACACACATCCAAGCACATATTAACCTTCATAACATGCAAGTTCCTCAATTTGAAATGGACAGACTTCTACAGACTTATGAAGCGTTTTATGCTTCAGCCTTGAAATGTTTTCCCATAAGGCGACGAGTTTGTGGAGAGTTTTCAGTCTCTTCCTCCAACTGTGATGAAAAAGGAAGGAAAATGTGATAATATGAACAAATCTGCTGTAATTAAGCGGATGTAGCACAGTGCAATGATAGAAATGTTCATTATCTACAACTACCTCATAAGTTTTATGTTCAATTAAAATGTGTCATCATAAAAATTTAACAATGGACAATCATTATTATAAGGAAATTACTGGACTCAAAGCTCCTCAGTATGGTTTAGAGAAAACCAATAGAGAATAAATAAAATTAAATTAAATTAAATACTGACCAGAAATATCTCAACATTTCAAACTTCAGTGGCTGAAGTGCATTGGAGATTTTTTTTTTTTTTTGCGTTAGCAGCTCAATAATAATAAAAAAGTCATCAAGACTTTTTTTGTGTTAAAGTAAAAATAAAAAAATCTTAATCTTCTGTAAAGGACAGAAAAAAAAATAAAAAAATCACCAGATTATCAGTAAATTTGTATAATTATATATGCATTAGGACAAAGCATTGCAGGTTAAACTGTAAAATATGTTACAACTCTGAAAGAGAAGTAACATGTCCTAATAGTACAGAAAAACTCAAGTATGAATATTTGAAATCTACATTAATTTATTTAGTTATAGCCTAAAACAGAACAAGAGTCACCTTGACATATTAAAAGGCCCATTATTATTATTATTATGATAAGTTAATAGAAGATTAAACAAACTGAAATTTGCTTCATACTTCTATAGTGATGCATAATTTCATTTTTTGTCTAAGAAAAGCTAAAAAAAATATGTATGTGAACAGTTCCTGCCTGATTTAACACGGATTATCCAACACATGAATAGGTTCTGTGTCTGAATAAAACCAAACCAGAACCAGTTTGACTCTGTGAGTCAGCGGGAGATGCAGACAGTCCCAGACCACAGGTAGAGCCTGGAGCGCTCCGGTCTGCCCTGCAGACACTCACCTGCTCTTTGATGTAGCTCTTCCCACACGGCATGATCCCTCTGAGAGCCAGTCCAACCACGAAGCACCACACCGACAGGCCGGCCTCCGCTGCCGACAGCATGGCACAGGGGATCCACAAGGCCAGGGTGGTGTCCTGAGCCACAGCAGGAAGTGGAAAAAGCAATAATAAATAATATATACTGTATTTTTTGGACTATAAGGCGTTACTTTTTCCCTACGCTTTGAGCCATGCGGCTTATAGCCTGGTGAGGCTTTTCTGTGGATTTTTCTTCAACCACCAGGGGGCGCTTTAGCAGGAAGTGAATTATTGGAAGTCAAAATTGGAAATCAAAGAAGAAAGCGCTAGTTTTCATTTAGAACAAGCACATGCTAGCAGCAGGCACGACGGAGAAATGTTTTCAAACTCATACCCGCTCATCATGGAAACAACAGGAAGAAGTTTATATGATGCAGCTTTTAAGTTGAAAGTTATCGATATAGTTGCTGCCATCGATCTGTATGTGAATGAAATCATGCCGGGTCTGCGTCCTTAATAGCAGATTTATTAAGGAAGCAGCCCTCTGCTGCGACCTTGTGGAAAACCGAGAGTGGCGGAGATATCAGCGGCTAATATATGTACGTTTCCAGTTTTTTCTTTCTTTTTTTTAATTGTAGGTCCGGAAAATATGGTACATATAATTTAATAAAAGCGTTGTAGCTTCCACTCACATATATTCGTGTTGTATCAAACGGGCACTGAGCGCTGACAGGCGAACGGGCGTTGACGGGCACCACTGTGTCGTTGCATCCCATCATCAGGCCGCTTCCGTTATGGGCGATGGTGACGCCAATGGCTAGGAGGAGCCCAGCGCTGCAGGCGGCTGACAGCAGGGCGTTCAGGAAGGACGCCACCATAAGCCCTATTATCTGAGGACACAGAGGAAACGTCATGAAAAGTGGGAAAATAAAACGCAACATGATGTGTTTCAGCATCTGGAGACATGTTAAACTCTTACCAGCTTAAGTTTATGAAGGTTCCTTGAAACCACAATGGCAATAATCCCAGAGGCAATGCTCTGTGAGACAAACATGAGCAAAGTCGACTTTATTAGACTCTGGAATAGCAAGGAATTCTCGCCCCGGGTGGTGAAACTGGATTATTAATTTGGATGTTTGGATTAAAAAAAAAGGTGAATTAAATCAGCGAACAGAACGATGAACATCGAAACAGAAGCCATCAACAAAACCTAATCCGATACATATATTTTGTAATTTGTAGCTCGTAACCCTCATACGTTTTATCGGCTTTATTTATGACCCTCATATCCAATTTGAAGGAAATTTCAGAAAAAGAAGTGAAAGTTCACACCATCTTATTGCTGACGAGTGTCAGCTTTTCTGATAAATGGAGGTAATGAGGCCTGCCCTGCAGGGACAGCTGATTAGTCTGAAGAAGCAGCTTCTTTATGACGGGCAAGTTCTGTCTTGATGGCAGAGAAAAACACACAGCAGTATGACTGCACAAACAGACCGACATCAACTGGGACAGAAGGATTTAGTATCTTATGCGTTTTACGTTGTTGCTCCAATGCAGAAGAGAAAAAGAAATCACTAGGCAGGCAAAACCTGCAAACACAAATGTTTCCTGGTCAGCTGAAATGATTCATTCGTTAGACCTAAATCTAATAAAATTAAGATTTGCAGATTGTTGTTCACACATGTTCTCTGTCCAATCTTATTTTGCAAAGAAAATTGGACTAGATTTTAACTATCTGGATGTGAAAACCCAGACAAAATCTTAACCACTTGAAGATGTAATTGCAGCAAAAATTGTCTCTACAAACTGTTGAGTCACTGGGACTGGATGGAGACACACAACACATCATTTCCGGATTTTATTTGTAAAAATTTTTTAAAATGTCATCACAAAAAAAAAGTAAACTTTTTGAAGTGTGTGTTTGTAACGTCACAAGATGTGAAGGTCTATAAGGTATTAATATTTTTCCAATGCCCTGTAAATATAACAATAAAAATCAATTACACGGTTTTGCTCAGTGACAAAAGCTAAACAAATTGCAAAAGTTGAATGATTAGAAGATAGGTTTTAATGAATGTAAATAAAATGTATGGAGGTGCATTCTGTACCTGGTTCAGCTGGAGAATTTTTATGGTTTTAAAAAATACATGTTGTGTAATTCTGACTATGTAACCATGAATCTATAGCTGCATCCAGCGTTATTATCAAACCAGGAAGGAAAAAAAAATCAATAAACAATTAGGGAAAATGTGGTTGATGTGTAATTCCCCTCAGCTGCCTGGAAAGAAGAGAAAACCAAGAGCAGAGGAGAGAAATGCCGTAACAAAGAGATGGACCTGGACAAGTAAAGAGGAAAGACATAAACGAGACAAAGGTAAAGGTTTATAAAAATAATGAAAATAAATAGTGTTTCCAGCCACACACCATGTGTCCTCAGATGTGACTGAGAACAAACATTTAGCCAACATTGTGTTTAAAAAGCCATTAAATGACAATAACTAGTCAAACACCTTCTACACATGACACAACATGCACAACTCCTGATAACTGCATCATTTTCATGCATCAGTTTCCTCAGCTGATTTAAAAACAAAACATCTGACGCAGTAACCTACCAGCAGGCCAGAGGTGACAGAAATGATGTTGGCTACAGTGTACTGCGTACTAATGTGCTGGCTGGGTTTGGAAATGTGGCGCAGGACGCTGCCATGGACGATGGCTCCCAGGATGAAGTTCATATGGCCGACCAGGATGAGAACGAGCCCCTTTTTCATCAGCCGCCCCGGCCCTTTGTCCTTATCTAGGGGAGAGAAACACAGGGTTGAAGAGATGTTACGTTTGTTTTTAAAGACCAAGTTGGATTGCATATAACTAGATCTAAGAGTTGTCTTTTTATTATCTTGTATTTGGCCTTGAGATGACGTCCAAGGAGAATTTATGCTGTAATAATATCTTAGGATGTAGCCAGTTTCATCTTAAATTAAAAAATGCCTGTTTAGGTAGTCACATTATTAAAAAACATCACTTTTCTAGTTTTAAAAAGGGCTTATTGGTTATACCGCTTAGTAAAAAACTTAATCACACCCCTAAAATTTAAGATTTCTCTGCTGCAACAAGTTTGTTCCTGAATGGAAATGAAGCAAGCAAAAGTAATAGTAAAATGTAGAAACAACATTAATTTTGAAAGGACAACACAACTTTTGAAACATTTGATTAAAAATGGAACGTTCAAAATTATTTTTTCTTTCCTATTAATAACTGACATTTTTTCCCCTTTGGCAGTACCAAAACCAAAGTCTTCTTATAATTGCTGACTAATCTTTTGCCATGTTCCCACTTGCATTTAGTCAATTTATGTATGAGTAAGCTAAACACTGCCATCATCCTAATCTGCATCTTCCTCCACAGATTCAATTGAAACTGTAACCAGGCTGCTCCAGAACCTTAAAATTACTTCCAGTCAGAAGAAAAATGTTAACAAAAATAAAACACTATTTTAAACCTTAACCTGCCAAGTGTGTGTGTATAACTGTGTATAAATAAATATCACGGCTTGCATTTAAAAATAGTGAAAACCTCACTTCTAATAAATTGCTAACTTGATATTAGCTAAACATTGACTATTTGCTCTGTTTTTCAGGTTTAATCATTTTCAAGAAGAAACTCTTTAATGGACATTATTCCACAGGTTGCAACAATCACATCTGTGCACACAAAGCCTTGACGGACTATCAGCAGATTCTCGTCTATTTACCCAGCAAATGATGCAGACATTTCATAAATAATCCGCCCTGTGCTAGGAGGCCTGCTGTAAATTACAGCAGTGGAGACAAAGCGTGGACGGCAGCCCTTGACCCCTGTTTGAAAACACGATTCTGATTTCGTGACATCCACCAGAATACAAGGACTCACCAAAGCTGCACATTTCTCTGCCGCAGGCTCGAGTCTTTCTGCTCTTTACTGTTTTGTTTTTCACAGAAAAGGCTCAAACAAAAGCTTCTTTAGCCGCTCCGTCTCACACGGACGTCCCTCTGTCCACTTCCTGGTTGACGTAATTTACCTGTGCATTACCTGCGAAGTGCTGCACGTGCTCCACATTACAGAAAATATTAGAAATTAGAATATATTCGAAACATATTTTTCAAAAGTTGATATATTATTTAAATCATTATACAGAATTATAACTTTGAAGTGTTGACTCAGCTAATAAAAAGCCAAAATAGTTTCTTACATAATTTAAATAATACATTAGAGCAAGAAAGTGTTTATTTTAAACTGAAAAGTCCACAAGGAAACCGCAAAAAGGTAAGATGCTGTGTGTACTCAAGCTTATTAAAGGAAAATTGAGCTGAAGAAAAAAGTGTGGTAGAGAAAGTTGCACAAGAAAAGAAACCTGAGCAGCACCAGAAATGTTTTACCTGGGCGAAGGGTGGTTGTCCAGTGTTACACTTCTCTTCAGATTAAAGTAAACATCGCATTTTATTGGAAAATCAAGGTTGAATAGTCTGGAGGAAAAGTGGAGAGACAAAGAATCAAAGATGCAAAAGGGTAAACTGTTTGTTTTACTAAAGTAAAAGTAAAAAGTAGCCATTAAAGAAATTACTCGAGTAAAAAATTATTTGGTAATTTCATCAGTTACTCAACTACAGAGTAACTGATGAAATTACCAAATAATTTAATATTTAAAAACTACATAATCAGACAGACCTAAATTAAGTTGTATTTTAAGGACAAAAATTGCAATAATTCATATCACAAAAAAATGTGGCAAAATAATTTTTTTCCAAATCAGTTTATTTCAATAAAACTGAAACTTTAATAAAAACTGCAGGTGTGTGTTTGTCTGGTGAATTTTTTGTTAAAACATGTTTGATTTTAATTCAGTGGGTAGAAAATCCAGAAATTTCACTGAAGTAAGATAAAGCATAAGAGCTTTATCTTACTTCAGATAAGATAAAGCAATGCTCAATTTTATTATGAGCATAATTTTGAGCATAATTTTATTATGCTCAAAATTTTATTATTTTGAGCATAATAAAATTGCTAAAATAAAAGTAAAAAGTACAGAGTAGCAAAAATACTCCCAAAAGTACTTTAAAAAAGTTAATCAAGTAAATTGAGTTAAGTAAATGTACCCAACTCTGGGTATGGGTGCATCTATCAGATAAATCAGAGCACTTCATAAAGATGGTGATTCAATTCTCCAGCAGGACTCTTGCACTTAGCATCACTGGGCTCAACTGGTCAGAAACTCTTTGGACCTGCAGCACATGCAGCAACTTAAAACTACAGGAATAAAAGCACTTAACATATCTAATAATTTATATAAAGAATCTAAGAGTTGAATTTCTTTCAAAATTGATTTACAAAAAGAAAGGCACATAATTTATTCAATACACAAACACCTTTTTCATAAAGCCACTGGCTGCAACGCTACAATGCTACAAACATAAGTTTAGAAATAATCCCAGAATTAGAAAGCAGAGAGTGATCAATCCATTTATTTGAAAGAACTCGCGCATCAAAAAGGCACACGTTTACTGACATTTGTGTCAAAATACAATTCATAAAAACACCTAAATACAACCAAAAGCTCACATCATGGAGTAACAGACTAAAGCTGTCAAATGTGTTTGATTATTTAATAACCAGTTTTATCACCTCTACTGAATGGGGTTTAGGAGGAGGAGAGTTAAGCAGGCTGCAGAGAGTCGATGTGAAGCCTGGTGGTCGCACTGGTTGGTCTGAACCCCTTCTGTGCTCTGAGGTGGTCCGTTTACATTCCCCCGCTTGACTCGAGCTACTCTTACAAAAATACAATCCCAGAAGTTCACAAAGGGCAAGAATAATAGAAATCACATAAACGATGAACTAAGATCGACTGCATACAGCATGGAGCAGACTGTGACCATAATGAGTTTGAAACAGGGAATGTTTTAATAATTAAAGAGTTCATAAAACAGAGTTAAAAAATACCAGTGATATAGGATATGTGAATTATGTAACCAAAAGTTTAACAGAAACAAAAAAAGAAAAATTGCTGTACTTCTTTGCAGTATGCTCAGTGTTGAGAAATATTTTACCGTTTTAGAAAAAGAAGTAAAGAGCCGGGAGGCAAATTTAGTAAAAAACCCGATACGAATTCCCTGATCTCAATTTAGGTCGAACCATGATCTATACAACATGAAATACGTGTAATTCTTTTAAAACTGAGGATGACAACACCAACACCAAGCTCTAGTTGCACCCAATAAATAAACATATTTTGTTGACTCAGACCCTCGATGGGGCGGCTGCGTAAGGAAAAGGAAAAAACACTTGGAATAAAGTACCTGTTTCTCCAACAAAACACACCGATCAACCAAAGACGTTTCTTTAAACAAATTACTACACCAAACTTCAGTACACACATTCCACTGAAATCTAAAGGCAAAGTAACTGGTCAACTCAGACAGCAGCAACTGTAAACAGAAGAAAACTAAAAATTCATACACATATGTATAAAAAAGGACCTGAAAGCATTTTGACAGATGGAAAAACATATATAAATATAAAAAACAAACTAATTCACAGTACCTCAAAGTAAGCAAGTAATGTATTTTCAAAAAGTAAAACACCATAATTGCACTTACTTTGTTTCTTTAATAAAGCGGTTAACCAAAAATCTTCTCAGATATAACTTAGAAGGCAACAGCTTGATCAGAGAAAGCACAAAAAACTGAGAATGATATGAAAGGAAGAAAACGTTAAGCGAAACATAACGGGAACATATATTTAAAAAAAGAATGAGGAATTAGAAAGGAGTAGCCTAGCTCTTTCTTTTCTTCTTTTGTGCATGGAAAGGCAATACTAGTCTGTAGGGAAACTACAGTTTGCTGATTGTCAGTGGGTCCGGATGCTGCCGTTAAAACATAAACGTGACAACACCAGCAGGTTGGTGAAGGAGACATTCGGACATCCCAGGCGGTTCAGACCAACTCCTCCAAAGGAACAAACAAACGAGGCAGCTCCTCATGTAAACAAAGCACACTTAAAGAAAGCACTGGTTTAAAGGGTTCCCAGCCTGGGACACGTTCCCTTAGCAGTTATTACACAACCTAGAGTCAAATAGAAAGTTCACAGCTGCTGGTTTCTATGGGGCCGTCTGGCTTTACGTTGGATATTTTGTGCATTTGGAATATATTTTTTCTTTTATGTCTTGATGTGAGGGATCCTTCCCCGTTTTGGTCACATAATCACCCAAAGCTCCTTGGAAAGACCTGCTAACAAGGCTGAAGATGAACTCCGGGTTATTTGTGCTACTGGAGAGCCTGGCTGAATGTTTCTTCAAGCAGAGAGGATATTTTTATTTGGTCCACCTGTAGAGAGCAAGAATAGGTTTTAAATAAATGAAAACACACAAATAAAAACTACAAGAAAATGATTTTTAAGAACCAGAAATATATAAATATTAAAAAACATGAAACTGATGTTGTCGTTTAAGCAAAAGGAAAATCTGAAACAGGCCAATTAAAACAGAAAGCGGTTAAATAAACTTGATGATTTCAGACATAAAGGATTATTTTCTTGAAAAAGACTCAGGAATATGTCAGGTGGATTTTAGATCAATGATTGGGAACAGAAAAATAATGAGTGAGATCAGAAACACAACCGTTATTTATTGTTTTTTGTATATTTGCCAAAGAAAAGTATTATTATTTTTGTAACACAACTCAAACAGAAAGCTGTACAAATGATGATATAAACAATATAGTTAGGAATTAGTCCAGTTAAACAAATAAGCTATTTTGTCATCACATTATGGCGTTTGTAATTTTCTCTGCTTTCGACACATTTAAAGAACATTTTCGGCCTGATATCTTCCCTGATTTCCCACAAACACACAACCAAACAGGCTCCATGACAATAAGAGTCACTGTTTCCCACTGATTCTCAGCGGTTATAATGTTATGACAGAGGCACTAAATACATTAAATGCTATAGAGTTTTTCTTCTGCATCAGGAGCTTTTAGTGAAGCTGGTTAGCAGTGCACGTTCTGCTGCGGCGTCACACACTCACCTCGCTGATCAAGCCCAGCTGCACCAACTCTCCAGCTAAATCTTTAATACTTTCATCTGAAACACAGAGCAGCAGTTAGTGACGGGAAACGAAGGCGAAACCATTTCAACACCAACCAAGTTAAACTGCAGCAACACGATGATGAGCTCATGACACTTTTTATACTTGAAGGATCTGCACGTTTAAGTTGAAACATTTAAATAATTATCTCTGGATTTACTGTTGTAGGTTTGCATTTCCAGCTTTATTCAAACTTGATTGCTGAACGGTGGCGTTTTTGGGCCTTAATATTACTGCTTTAATGAGCTACATGTTTTAAGACATTTATGGAAGTGTGTCCTCCCCATGTTTTAAACCACGTGGTCTGGGGGCCAAATCCGGCCCGCTATAAGCTTTAATGTGGCCCTCTATGTAGAAGGACATAAATAAAACTTTTAAGACAATAGCTGCGTACTTAAATATTTTTTATTATTCAAATCAACAAATCAAATTCGCACTATCAAATTAAATTAATGCGTAAAGATGTGCAACATTATTTAAATTTAAAAAGTTCTCATTGATTAGTATTTTATCTGTTTGTTAATGGGTAGTTTGATAAATAAGTCCTGCCACAACCATTTATAATCTGGATATGGTCTGAAAAATGACAATGAGTCTGACAATAAAATGTACATGATGGAAAACAAAACTACTAAAAATAACAGTGAAGTCTTTAAATAATAATAATAAAAAAAACACAATGTGTAAAACTGCTGCAAATGTGAAAATACTGAAATGCTGCAAAGTAGGTCAGATTTTTTTGATGACTTTTGATGCCTGCTTTATTCTACTTTTTATGTTTGCATCTCATAAATATTTTTGTTTTACCAAACTTAAAGTAAATTACTGAAAACAAACACTTCAACACTGTTTTCTTGATGCCCAAATCTGAGGCAACTTGAATAAATAAACATAAATAAGTGGCTAAAAGCACTGGACAACAGCCAAAAAAATAGTTTGGGGTTTTTCAACTGTTTTAAGGTAATTTTGATGTGCTGAATCCAA